CAAATCCGAATCAGGCCAGGAGATGAATGAAAAACTGCCTTTAAAACTCACGAATGTCTATATGAATGGAAGGTAATGGGGTTTGGCTTATGTAATGCTCCATCTAAATTCATGCGACTAATGAATAAAGTGCTAAAACCTTTCCTCAATCGTTGTTGTGTGGCATATTTCGATGATATATTGGTTTTTAGTTCCGCACTTGGTGATCACATCGGCCATCTAAGAAGTAACCTTGAAACATTTGAGGAAAAATAAATTGTATCTAAATCTGTCAAAATGTGAATTCGCAATTCCATTGGTGACATTCTTGGGTTTCAAAATTTCTGCTGAAGGCGTTAGTACTGATCCTGCCAAAATTTCGGCTATTCAACAGTGGCCGAAACCAAAAAAAGGCAAAAACTCTAACAGGCATATGAAGTTTTCATGGGCTAGCAAATTTTTACCAGAGATTTATTAAGGGATTCAGTAGTTGTATGGCTCCAATCACCGATGTGCTGAAACTAAAAAAATTTGAGTGGGGTGCCGCACAACAGCAAAGTTTTGAAAACATAAAAATAGCTCTTACCTCAGCGCCGGTTCTTGCTTTACCTAACTTTGAAAAACCATTTGCTGTAGACACAGATGCTTCGTCAATTGGCATTGGAGCGGTCTTAACTCTTAACTCAGGAAAAGTGGAAAACAAGCCTATAGAATTTTTCAGCGAGAAACTCTGTGCTTCGAGGTAGCGGTGGACAGTCTATGAACAAGAGCTATATGCCGTCGTGAGGGCCTTAAAACAGTGGGAACACTACTTACTCCATCAAGACTTTGTTTTTTGTAGCGACCACATGGCTTTGCAATATATAAATACACAAAAAAATATTAATCGAATGCATGCACGTTAGATCTTATTTCTACAAAAATTTATGTTTGTGTTAAAACACAAAAGCGGTGCTCAAAATAGGGTAGCGGATGCCTTAAGCTGACATACTGCTTTGCTCACTCAGCTACAAACGAAACTCGTTGGCCTAGAATCCCTACAGGAATTATATTCAGATGATCATGATTTTGTTGTAATTTGGCAACGTTACATGCAAAGAGATCATGTAGATGATTATTCGGTCAGGCACGGCTACCTTTTTAAAGGAAATTTGCTTGGCATTCCTAATTCGTCCTGGCGACAGCAGATCATCAAGGAAATACATGCCGGAAGTTTATCCGCCCATTTGGACCGTGACAACACCATTCTACAGTTACAAAACAAATTTTTTTGGCCTCACTTAAGAAGAGATGTGACACGATTTGTAGAGAGATGCCCAATATGTCAAGCCTACAAAAGCGGAGGACAGAACACTGGACTTTATTTGCCGCTATCTGTACCGGACTCTATTTGGGAAGACTTAAGCCTAGATTTTATACTTGGCCTACCTCGTTCGCGTCGAGACAATGACTCAATTATGGTGGTCGTAGATCGTTTTTCAAAAATGACGCATTTTGTGCCATGTAAAAAATCTTTCGACGCTTTGAACGTTGCCAAGCTGTTCTTTCGCGAGATCGTACGATTGCATGGCATTCCTCGCTCCCTAGCTTCGGATCGTGATATGAAGTTCATAAGTCATTTTTGGAGAGAACTTTGGAAATGATTGGATACTAAAATACAACTTAGCTCGACTTATCATCCGCAAACTGACGGCCAGACAGAGGTAGTCAACCACACACTGGGGAACTTGCTCCGCTACTTGGTACAGCAAAAACCGAAACTATGGGATGAAGTACTTCCTCAAGCAGAATTTGCATTCAATCTAATGTCAAATCGGCCAACTGGTATGTGCCCTTTTAGTATTGTTTATACCAAATTTCCAAACACTATTGTGGATGTTGCAGTTATTCCAAAATGTGCAAATAAGGCTGCTGCCAATATGGCTGAATAGTTTACAGATAAGCTATCTACTGTTCGTGCAAAACTGCATCAAGCCAATGCTTATTATAAGCAACAGGGCAGATGTTCATCGGCGTGAAAAAATCTTTCATCCGGGTGACTTGGTATTAGTTCCCCTGACCAAGGAACGCCGACCACCGAGAACTTATTCAAAGCTAAGTCGTAGAAATATTGGGCCTTTTCCAATCCTCCATAGAATTAATGAAAACGGCTACGTGAAAGCTGACCTTTATCCATACTCACCACCTGATGACGGCCGGGTGACATCTGTATTAGGAGATGACAGCATTCTTCATGGTGGGGGCGAATGATGCGGAGCATCTTAATGAACATTATCCGGCAGCACAACTTATTGCCACTTACTACTGATAGTTAGTTAGGATTACTACTTTATTGCATTTTATTAGTTCTGCTGCACATGAGTGCAAATAGTGGTTGTTTACACCTTTTTTAGTAGCTTTTTATCAGGCAAGGTAATATAGGAATTGGGGACGGGAAAGAAGAGGGAACTTGATTTTACAACTTCATAGAATTGCTACAGGTTCTTAGAACTTGTGTTCTGAGCTCTGTTTTATTGGTTTTGTTCTGCTTGCTCTAACCTTCTTTGCAGGATCCCTACATCAACTTGTCTCCAACATATGTATCTGCAATACAAAATTCAACTCCAGCGATCACATTTGCGATTGCTGCAGCCTTAAGGTGATTCCAACTTTTCCGCAAAAGTAGTAATTAGTTCAATTTGACTTGCTTAATTTACAATTGTTTTGGTAACATTATTGGCAGTAGTTAATATTGCAGGCTTGAACCATTGAATATTAAGAAGAGGCATGGCATTGCAAAAGAGATGGGAACTGCAGTTTGTATTAGTGGAGCAACCATCTTAACCTCTCCTCTTCTTCAAAACCACCTAAACCTTACAGTACTGGGAAAATCCTTCATCTCTTCAAGCCAGATAATGCATTGGACCTTAGGCTGTGTCTATATTCTACTGAACTGCATTGCTTGGTCTGGTTGGATGGTTTTCCAGGTACTGATGATGATCAAGCCCTTAATTTCTTCCAAAAACTTCCTCATGTTAAATAAATAATCAATTTATTAGATGTTTGTGGTTCATCGTTGAAACTTAATATTGATTATTTAAATAATATCCTAATTTTCAGGTACCAGTGCTCAAGCACTATCCAGCTAGGTGTAATACAGTTTATTGTCATAGCAGCATTCATTGAAAGAGATGTTGAGAGGTGGAAGATCCATTCAGGAGAAGAGCTCCTTGCCGTTCTTTATGCGGTACGCAATTAACTCTTCAGTCTCCAGCAGCTGGCTATTTATTTATTGATATTTTACTTATCTCTCTCCTTATTTTCTCACATTGGCAAGCTCATCACAATTCAAGCTAAAAAAATTAAAATGAAAGAACGTAGACACTTGTCTCTCCCTCATTTATTATTCTTCATTTTATTGAAGTTGATAGGCTGACGAGAAGGATATTAATAGGAACAACTAATATTGTATCTAACATCTCATCAGTTATGTTTTGGATGTTTTTAACGTATAGGGACAAGGGACAGATTCGCTAAACAAGCCGGATTTTTTATTGATTTAATAATCCATGAGTGACAAAAAATTATTAATGTATTTTTGTCATAATCAGGGCCTAGTTGGTTCAGAGATTACCTTCTCTCTTCAGACTTGGTGCATTGATAGGGCAAGCCCACTATTCGTTGCTGTTTTCCAACCTGTACAGACTGTCTTGGTGGCCATCCTCGCAGCCATTGTACTTGGAGATCAATTGTACTCTGGAGGGTAAGCATAATAGCCGTAGCCATGGATTTTTTACTCATGCTTGCCCATTATTGCTTGAAAAAATGATAATATTTACTTCTATGATGCATTAATATTTCATAATAATAAAACGTGTCATTTTGGGTACTTGCTTGACATGTATTGGATACATCATATATGTTTGACAAACATGTCATAAATAATAATATTTTATTTTAAAAATATATTACACAAAGTTAAGCCAATATTTCCATTTTATTTTAAAAAAACTAATTAAATAATTTAATGGGCATTTAATATTAATTTTTATTTTATTATTTTGCTCTATGTATCTATGATTTGCTATAATGTTTATTTTTTATTAAATAATTAATTTTGTAACTTTAAGCTAACAATCTATAATACCGTGTGAATATTTCTCCTTCAATTAAAATTAAAATATTTAATAGATTTATATTTTTTATTTTAAAAGAGATTGAAATAAATTATTATTATTTATAAAATTACTATATCATTTTTTAATTCAAAATTTTAATATTATAATATTATATTCAATATGTATCTATATCATATAATTTTAATAGTAAAACTATCTCTACTTCCTATTATTACATCTTAATTCACTTGCAAGTGCAACTTATTTTAATTACTTTCCTTTTCTATATTGTACAATGTCATATAGAGTGAGAATCTCAATGGGAAAAGATAGAAAAATTAGGGCGTTGCTAAATAGTCATTGCTCAATAGTGGACAAATTAAGTTCCGCAACGTCACAATCATTCTCATTAAATCCAATGATTTGGCTTTGTCACTGTGGATCTCCACTCAAAAAAGAAAAACAAAAAGAAAAAAAAAATGCTCAAATCTATTAATAATCTAATGTAAAGTTTTTTTTTTTTCATAGTAGGATTCAAGGGGTTTAAATGTAATGCTATAAGAATTTCGATCAATTTATCTCAACTTTTTTTTCTTACTTATCTTTTAATTTCTTTTTTTATTTTATAGTTTCCATTGAAATCATAATTTTTTTTTCATAACAAATGAGCCAGATCATGAACTTACTCAAACTCATTATTATAATTTTATCATGACAGCCAAGCTGATAAGCAATAAATACCTTGAACAAAAATATGGTTGGTTTGCAATTGTAAGATGATAGAGTGCGTATTACTGCATACCGTCCATTCCCATTAGTTTAATGTTTACATGGCCAGTTTCTCCCTGTTTTTTACTTAAATAATAAAGATGGTTCGTATATATATGTTCCCTTATCTCTTCTCTATTCAAGCACCATATTAAGCCAAGCTCTTGAGCAGTTGAGGGAGAGAACTAAAGTGTGACCAAAAAAAAAAAAGATGGGAAGAGAGTCTCAATTTTCTAAGAAGTTGAAACTCCTCATAACCGTATTTTTGCTTCACTTGTGCTATGCAGGATCTCACATAGTGTCAAGAGTGGCGCTAAACATGGGGATAAGCAAACTCCTACTCCTTGTCTACAGAAATATCATTGCTGTAGTTTTGCTGGCTCCCTTTGCCTATTTTCTAGAGAAGTAAGGCATTGAATTTCTTAATTGAATGTCACGCAAGTGTAATGGAGCGTAAAATACTATTTTTTTTCCCTGCAAATTAATGACTGCATACTCCATTCTGTTTTCTCTTCAGGAATGACAGGCCACCTCTTACCTTCTCGATCCTAATTGAGTTGTTTCTTCTTGCGCTTTGTGGGTAATTAGGCAATAATTCAGCTAATCAAATAACCCACCAGCAGTTTATACAGACAAGTATGGTGGTTTTTTTCAAAATTCACCATGTTTATTAATCACTGAATGCCTTGTAGAATTGCAGCTAACCAAGGGTCTTACATACTGGGTTTGTACTACTTGTCTCCAACATATGTATCTGCAATACAAAATTCAACTCCAGCGATCACATTTGCCATGGCTGCAGCCTTAAGGTGATTCCAACTTTTCAGCAAAAGTAGTAATTAGTTCAATTTGACTTGCTTTACAATTGTTTTGGTAACATAATGGGCAGTAGTTAATATTGCAGGCTTGAACAATTGAATATTAAGAAGAGGTATGGCATTGCAAAAGTGATGGGAACTGCAGTTTGTATTAGTGGAGCAACCATCTTAACCTTGTATAAGGGTTCTCCTCTTCTTAAAAACCACCTAAACCTCACAGTATTGGGAAAATCCTTCATCTCTTCAAGCCAGATAATGCATTGGACCTTAGGCTGTGTCTATATTCTACTGAACTGCGTTGCTTGGTCTGGTTGGATGGTTTTCCAGGTACTGATGATGATCAAACCCTTAATTTCTTCCAAAAACTTCCTCATGTTAAATAAATAATCAATTTATTAGATGTTTGTGGTTCTTCGTTGAAAATTAATATTGATTATTTCAATAATATCCTAATTTTCAGGTACCGGTGCTCAAGCACTACCCAGCTAGGCTCTCAGTAACGACACTCACATGCTTTTTTGGTGTAATACAGTTTATTGTCATAGCAGCATTCACTGAAAGGGATGTTGAGAGGTGGAAGATCCATTCAGGAGAAGAGCTCCTTGCCGTTCTTTATGCGGTACGCAATTAACTTTTCAATCTCCAGCCGTTGGCTATTTATTTATTGATATTTTACTTATCTTTCTCCTTATTTTCTCCCATTGGCATGCTTATCACAATTCAAGCTAAAAAATTAAAATGAAAGAACGTAGACACTTGTCTCTCCCTCATTTATTATTCTATATTTTATTGAAGTTGATAGGCTGACGAGAAGGATATTAATAGGAACAACTAATATTGTATCTAACATCTCATCAGTTATGTTTTAGAGGGGACAGATTCGTTGAACAAGCCAGATTTTTTATTAATTTAATAATCCATGAGTGACAAAAAATTATTAATGTATTTTTGTCATATTCAGGGCCTAGTTGGTTCAGGGATTACCTTCTCTCTTCAGACTTGGTGCATTGATAGGGCAGGCCCACTAATCGTTGCTATTTTCCAACCAGTACAGACTGTCTTGGTGGCCATCCTCGCAGCCATTATACTTGGAGATCAATTGTACTCTGGAGGGTAATTATAATAGCCGTAACCATAGATTTTTTACTCATTTACACTGCCAAAATTATGTATATATGACTCTAAATTTCACAGAAATTTTAGTAATTTCCTATATTTTTTTAATGAATGCAGGCTTATAGGGTTCATAATTATAATGGTGGGGCTTTATTCTGTACTGTGGGGGAAGAATGAGGAGAACAAAGTTGGAAAACTGGAAACAGAGGATCTCACAAACCACCTTCTTGAACAGCAATAAAAGTCTGAGAAAGTCAAGACATGAAGGCATTAAGACATTATTCTTGTGACATTTTATTATCAATAGCTTTCTATTAATGTTATCATAAGAACATGCACTGAATATCCATGTTGAATTTATGAAGGGGGGGCGAGCATGCATGCATAAAGCTAGCTAGATAAAATGAGCTTCCATGAAGTTGATAATATCTTAATTTCAGCATCAAGGACTCATGCTTGGCCATTATTGCATGAAAAAATGATAAAGTTATTTACTTTCTATGATGCATTAATATTTCATAATAATAAAGCGTGTCATTTCGGGTACTTGCTTGACATGTATTGGATACATCATATATGTTTGACAAATGTGTCATAAATAATAATATATATATTTTAAAATATATTACACAAAGTTAAGACAATATTTCCATTTTATTTAAAAAAAACTACTTAAATAATTTAATGGCCATTTAATATTAATTTTTATTTTATTATTGGGATTTTTACATACATAATATCTAAAACTATTGAAAATACATATCTAACACCTAAACATTAATATTTACTTATCTACCACTTAAAATCTCCATTTTCTTCTACTCTACCACTCCGTTTATATGCGTGTCCTCTTCCGTTCGTTCGCGCGAAGGAAGTTTACAACCCATAAACAAATCAAAATAGCTCAAAGTGACTCACCGCCGGAAGTGTCGGTACAGGCATCAGAACATTTCCATTCATCGTCTTTCGTTCCTCTCACTCCCTTTCTTAATATCCTTTGTCTTCCTCGCTATTTTTCTCTCGAGCGCGCTGGGCTTGCGTTGTGGTGGAGATGATATGGGAACGAGGGAATGGTTGGCGCTTGCGAGGAGCCAGACTCACTTAGGTGTGTTAATATTGGCGGTGGACCTGTTTGGGCTAAGATTTTAGCTTGTAGTGTATCTTGGCACTATTGCTCCCAACAAATTCCTGGGGCTCCAAATCCCATCTAGCAACCCACCATTGTTGCCAAATAAATCTGCTTCATAGCTTCTGGAATCAGAACAAGAGGACTTGAGATCAGCGACGACATCGAGGATGGAGAAGGCCTTGGAGATGCAGGCTAGGAGGGAGAAGGCTATGTGATGTTGCTGCTGTCGGTACTAACCTCATTAATGCCATTTCCATCAGAATGCGGACCCACACGCGGCCGCCGGTGGTCCTGGCTGGGACGTCGATGATCCAAGTTTGGCCGCTGTTGAGCTGGATGCCGCCGCCGAAGGGCACTGCGGTGAAGGTGGCCACTGAGAGTGATGGGATGTGACATTATGTGTAATGGAGTGGTAGATAAGTAAATATTAATGTTTAGGTGTTAGATATGTATTTTCAATAGTTTTAGGTGTTATGTATGTAAAAATCCTTTTATTATTTTGCTCTATGCATCTATGATTTGTCATAATGTTTGTTTTTTATTAAATAATTAATTTTGTAACTTTAAGCTAACAATCTATAATATCGTGTTATTATTTCTACTTCAATTAAAATTAAAATATTTAATATATATATATTAAAAGCTGTTGAAATAAATTATTATTATTTTTAAAATTACTATATCATTTTTTAATTCAAATTTTTAATATTATAATATTATAATCAATATGTATCTATATCATATATTTTTAATAAAAAAACTAGCTCTACTTCTTGTTATTACATCTTAATTCACTTGCAAGTGCAACTTATTTTAATTACTTTACTTTTCTGTATTGTACAATGTCATATAGAGTGAGAATCTCAATGTTGTCAATGGGAAAAGATAGAAAAATTAGGGCATTGCTAAATAGTCATTGCTAAATAGTGGAACATCGAAGCTTGGCTTAACAAGCTGAAAACCTTTCGACTGAAGTTCATCGGTTCTTCGGAGAGGTTCGGCAGGAGCTAACGGCGATTAACGCCAAATTGGATCGCACGCATCCGGTGCAAGTCGCGGCTCCAAATGCAGGTTTGGCTGCGAGGAGGGGTTTTGATGGAGACTGACGACGACAAAGAGGTTCACAAATCATTGAAGCTTCAGAGTGAGATAATGAACTGGATCGACTAGGAAACCTGGATATCTCAGATTCCGAAGAAGAAATTGTAACCCAGCGCGAAGAAGGCCGAGAGACAAGTCAAATGAGTGTCCTACGAGACCACAATTACAATTGCTATAAGCTGATATGGATGAAGATGGGATTGAGTTAGAAGCTGAAGGTGAATTTGCAATGGAAGATGTAGAAGGAGATGTTGGAAAACCCTTTGTGTGCATCATGGAGAAATTATTGTTAGCCCCCAAAAAACCCAACATGACATAACGAAATGCTGTGTTTCGTACCAAATGCACAATCCGCGGAAAGGTTTGTGAGCCGTTGATAGACATCGGGTGCACCAAAAATGTAGTTTCTTGAGCCATGGTGCGAGCACTGTAATTAAAGACCACAAAGAATCCAAATCCATACAAAATTAGCTGGGTGAAAAAAGGGATGGAAATGTCAGTGGCCGAATTATGTCGGGTGTCCTTTTCTATTGGTAAGCATTATACTTGCGAAGTTTTATGCGATGTGCTAGAGATGGACATATGCCATATTATTTTGGGAAGGCTGTGGCAATACGATGTAGGGGCTATATACGACTGTCATGCCAATACATATGCATTTGAGTGGAACGGCCGGCGACTACCCTTGTTACCAAGTAATGTCGGTTCAGAAATTAGTATTGAGAAAAATAAGACTGCTTTGTCCACTGCCTCAACGGCAGCACTACTCAACGCCTGGAAGGAGGCCTCCAGAATTTTGGCTCTTGTGGTAAAAGAGACAAATGTTACTGTGGGCAAGACAACACTACCTGAGGAAATAGATAATTTGATTAAACAATACTCAGATGTTAGCTCAGAAGCTCAACCCGCTGAATTGCCCCCTATGTGAACCATCCAGTACCAGATTGAGCTCATACCAGGAGCAACACTGCCTAACCGGCCTCACTACAAGCTCAGTCCTAATGAGAACCGAATCCTACAGCAAATAGTGGATGAATTGTTGGAAAAATAATTGATACAACACAGTTTAAGCCCATGTGCCGTGTCGGTCCTGCTTGTGCCCAAAAAAGACGGGAATTAGAGGATGTGTATGGACAACAAAGCTATAAATAAGATTACAGTCAAGTTCAGATTTCTGCTGCCGAGGATGGGAGAAATGATCGAAAGGTTAGCAGGGTATACTATTTTTTCTAAATTGGATCTTCGCAGTGGCTACCATCAAATCCGAATCAGGCTAGGAGATGAATGGAAAACTGCCTTTAAAACTCGTGAAGGTTTATATGAATGGAAGTAATGCCGTTTGGCTTATGTAATGCTCCATATACATTCATGCAGCTAATGAATGAAGTGCTAAAACCTTTCCTCAATCGTTGTTGTGTGGCACATTTCGATGATATACTGGTTTTTAGTTCCACACTTGGTGATCACATTGGCCATCTAAGAAGTATCCTTGAAACATTGAGGAAAAATACATTGTATCTAAATCTGTCAAGATGTGAATTTGCAACTCCATTGATGATATTCTTGTGTTTCAAAATTTCTGCTAATGGCGTTAGTACTGATCCTGCCAAAATTTCGGCTATTCAATAGTGGCCGACACCAAAAACTCTAACAGACATACGAAGTTTTCATGGGCTAGCAATTTTTTACCGAAGATTTATTAAGGGATCCAGTAGTTGTATGGCTCCAATCACCGATGTGTTGAAACTAAAAAAATTTGAGTGGGGTGCCGTACAGCAGCAAAGTTTTGAAAACATCAAAACAACTCTTACCTCAGCACCATTTCTTTCTTTAGCTAACTTTGAAAAACCATTTGCTGTAGAAACATATGCTTCCTCAATTGGCATTGGAGCGGTCTAAACTCAGGAAAACAAGCCTATAGAATTTTTCAGCGAGAAACTCCGTGCCTCGAGGCAGTGGTGGACAATCTATGAACAAGAGCTATATGCCATCGTGAGGGCCCTAAAACAATGGGAACACTAACTCCATTAAGACTTTGTTCTTTGTAGCGACCACAAGGTTTTGCAATATATAAATAAATAAAAAAAAACATCAATTGAATGCATTCACTTTTGATCTTGTTTCTACAAAAATTTAAATTTGTGTTAAAACACAAAAGCGGTGCTCAAAATAGAGTAGCGGATGCCTTAAGCCGACATACTGCTTTGCTCACTCAGCTACAAATGAAACTCGTTGGCCTATAATCTCTACATGAATTATATTCAGATGATCATGATTTTGCTGAAATTTGGCAATGTTGCATTCAAAGAGATCATGTAGATGATTATTAAGTTAGGCATGGCTACCTTTTTAAAGTGTTGACCCCTATACCTCAATCACGCAAGAAAGGACTCAAGCAGGTGAATAAAGCAATACATGCCTTGGTGCCACACATCACTTGAAGGATCAAACGACCTATGATTGCCAAACAGATGATATCGTTGCGATCAGGACATCAAGCTTTGCTAGGTCGAGGCCCCTCATAGTCGAATCGGACGAGATCGGTCAAATTGGATGACCGACACCCAAAATTAAAGTACGAGGCTGATCAAACGATGTCGGATCGGCAAATAGACTTCACCATTGCATCCAGTACATTATCAACCTCTGAAAATTGTATTTTGCTTATTAAATTTGAAGCATCCATATTGGGACACGGATATCAAGGCAATAACACAAATTTCGAGGAAAATTGACCTCGTCACTGTCCAAATGATGTCTGTTCATGAAACAGATTTCTCTATTGCAGTCAGAATAATGCAAATACTTAAGAACTACATTTTTTTATATTCAATTTGGATGATCCGGAAAGTTGACACGAATTCCAAGGCGCAACATGCATATTAAGGAAATTAGCCTCGTCGATGATTAAATGATGTCATATCGACGAACGGACAGTACCATTGCATCCGGAACATCGCCGATATTAAGAATATACATTTTATTTAATCAATTTGGATCATCTGAGGTGGTAGTATAAATCTCGAGGCGATTCAAATATGATGCGAAGGCATACATATCGAGGAAATTTGTCTCTACGGAGACAACATGACGTCTGATCATGAAACGGACTGCATCATTGCATCCACAACATCGTTAACATTAAGAATATATATATATATATATATATTAATCAATTTAGATTGTCCGAGATGCTGGCACAAATTCCTGGTTAATTGGAAAAATTGGTTTGAATTCAGTGGACAACCCACCCTAGTGTCTAATGGAAAAATTGAAACTGGTCCTAATTATCTCAACCTCAATATAT